AGTCGCTGCACCGGCTGGCGGGGACGAGCGCGGGCGGCGAGGCCGGCGGGCTGGTGCGCGGCGCCGCCGAGCAGCACCTGTTCAAGGCGCCCGCGCCGCGCGCCTCGCTGCTCGGCCTCGACCTGCTGGCCGCGCAGAAGCGGCGGCAGCGCGAGGAGGCGGCGGGCGCCAAGCGCTCGCGCGTCTCCTCCTTCCGCGACTGGGAGGAGGGCCGGGACGAGGCCGGCAGCCCCGCCGAGGAGGACGGCGCCGAGGATAGCGGCACGGCCGGGCGCGGCGCCCGCGCGGACAGGTGGGGCCCGCGGCCGGCGGCACCGGCTGCTGTGCAGCCCTCGGTGCCCTCTGCCGCCACGGCCGCCGGGCTGAGCCCCGCCGCAGCACAGGGGCCTCCTTGGCGGGGTCTGCTCGGCAGGGGCCGCGGGACTCAGCTTCAGGGCGGGCAGTGCTGGGAGAGGCCCTTCCGCCGTGCCTGTCCCCATGGGGCCCTGCCAGGACGTGTCCTGTCCAGAGAACGGCAGCGGCCGCTCGCCAAGCGGCTGCCCGCTCTATGTGCGCTGAGAGCGGGAACTGCGCCCTGGGCTGCGTCCGGGGATGGGGAGAGCAGTTCTGAGCACGGACTGTGCCTGGAGCAGGGGTCGGGGTGAGAGTCGTGTGAGGGAAGCCCAGGACCAGCTCCTTCTAAGCGCTTTTCTTCTCTCTGCTGTTTCTTCAGGCATTACCGCTCTGCCCGTGTGGAAACACCTTCCTACACAGGGGGCGTCAGCGAGGAGTTCTGGGAACGCAGTCGGCAGCGGGAAAAGGAGCGTCGGGAGCAAGGTGTCTTTGCTTCCTCCAAGGAGGAAAAGGAACGAAAGAAGGAGCGCAGTAAGGATCGGGATCATGAGCGCAAACGGGATCGAGGTAACTGCTCTGAAGTCTTCATGACTCTGTGCTTAGGATGTTTGGGCCTGTCCCCTGGCATTTTTGTAGTTGTTATCTTCAGGGAGTTATTTAGGGCAGACATGGGAAACCCGTTTGTGCGCTGAGCATCTAATGTCACTCACTTATTTTATTTTCTGTCCACAGAGGAGCGGGACCGAAGTCGTCACAGCAGCAGATCAGAGAGGGATGGTTCATCAGAGCGGAGCAGCAGGAGGAGTGAACCAGAGAGTCCCAGACACAGACCCAAAGGTAGGAGTGAGATCTGGTCTGCTAGTGTTTTCATTGAACCTTTACAGGGAGGATTTTATTCGTCTTTTGATTCTGCTATTTTTGTCAGTGCAAGTGTAGATAACAACATTTGTATTTCCTAGGGTCTGTGGTTAGGGCAAGCATAAAGCTGATGGCTCTTCCTGAATATGGGCCTGGGTTTGATCCTGCCAGTTGTGTGGGGAAGCCTGGTTGATCCCAGGCATCTGGGGGTCTCTCTTGGGTCCATGTGATGTGGATATGGCCCCGTGGTCCTTTTTCTTTGACAGGGACAGCACCATCTCTTAAAGAGTGAGTGGGTACACTGTCTCCATGGTTCTTGCTGGAGCGTATGAGATGGCTGCAGGCGCCCTGGGCCACTGTGTGAGCATCAGGTGTCGAGCTCTGTCTCTTCTAGATGCAGCCACACCATCTCGCTCCGGCTGGGAGGAAGAGGATAGTGGCTACAGCAGTACTCGCCGCTCACAGTGGGAGTCTCCCTCACCTACACCTTCCTATCGGGATTCTGAGCGCAGCCACAGGACATCATCCACACGAGACACAGATCGAAGAGATCGGGACAGGTATCAGTACCTGGAACGAAAGGCTGTGAGGGGGTGATATGCGGAAAGGGGAGAGCGTGTGTAAGAGCAGTAACTGGCAGTGGCCATTATTTCTTCCTTCATGCTGTTTCCCCAGGTCTGTGAGAAGCAGGTACTCGGATAAGACGCCATTGCCCACCCCGTCGTACAAGTATAATGAGTGGGCTGATGACCGGAGGCACTTGGGGGCCACACCACGGCTGTCCAGAGGAAAAGGTGAGGAGCTGGGGCTGCGCTGCACAGAATGAGGCCTGGCTTAATCCTCCTCCTCGCTCCCTGCAGCACAAGGACAGGGGCTGTGGGCCTCCCTGCACAAGTGGCCAGGGCAGGAGGGTCCCGGGCTGCACTGACCAGTTTGCTGTGTCTAGGGCGGCGTGAGGACGGGGAGGAGGGCATCGCCTTTGAGACAGAGGAGGAGCGGCAGCAGTGGGAGGATGACCAGCGGGTAAGAGCCTGACCCGGCTGGGGAAGAGCCGGTGCCGGTGGAGGCAGCCATGGTGCATGGGCTCCCCCGGGCGGCGAGATGGGGAGTGGCGGCTCGGAGCATCCCGGGCCCGGAGCATCCTCTGCGGCTTGTGCGGCAGCCCGGGCATGCATCCTGGGCGAGCTTGTGAGGCCTCCCAGGTGCACGTCTCGCACATGCTTGTGCTGCCTCCAGGGTCCGGAGCATCCCGGGTGTGCTTGTGTCCAGAGGGGTTTTCAGCGCCTCCCTGGCCTGCTGGGCTGGCCGCAGTCCAAAGCTGACTGTTCCCTCTCCCCTCCCAGCAAGCTGACCGGGACTGGTACATGATGGATGAGGGCTACGATGAGTTCCACAATCCCTTGGCCTACTCCTCAGAGGAGTACGTGAAGAAGCGGGAGCAGCACTTGCACAAGCAGAGGCAGAAGCGCATCTCTGCACAGCGGCGGCAGATCAATGAGGTAGGGGCACGTGGGTGGCCATTCTGGGTGTGCAAGGAGAGCTTTCTCTGCTGCTTCCTAAGAGACCCGCGTGCTGACAGGAAAGGCTGAGCCCTTGCTGTCGGATGGAGAGGACAATCTTTGTACTGGCCCAGGCTGAATGAGGGATTCCAGGGAAACTACTGGTAAGCTCCCTTGGAAAGTGAGCCCCTGCGTCTACTGCATGGGACAGAACTCCTCATTAGAGCCACTTGGTCATGGATCATAGTATCCAGAGCTTCAGGAATGCGGAGGGCTATGCTGCTGCTATTCTGGGCATGAGTTGTGTTCCTTGGTCTGTGCTCTGCTGCCTAGTGAAGAGTCAGGGCTGCTGCCCTTGGCACATGCGTTTGTGTCGAGGCTTCTTGGAGTATTCAGGGTACAGCAGGGGTCTTGTGGGTGATGTCTGCCATGCATTTCCATAGGACAATCCAGTTCATCAGGTACTTCATGCAGTCAGTCTGTTTCTCCATACCTGCTATTTCTGGTTACCATTTCTTCCCTGGTGCTTGCTTTTTGGCTCCTTAGACTGGAACCTTCAGTGTTCCGTGTTCGTTGTATTCCAGATTTATTCAGTTTCATCCTATTTTCACTGAAACCTGAGCTCAGTGTTCTGAAGTGAACTCTCAGGCTCTTTTCTGAGGCTTCACTGTCTTTACTGGTTTGGGAAAGACAAATACAGCTCTGGATCCTGTCAATGCTTGAAGCCATGTGGCATAACTTCAGTGTACAGCCCAGGGCAGAGACAAGGTTTTGCCTTGAGCGACTGGCTGCTTCTAGCTTGCTATTTCATGTATAAAAGTTCGGCCAACCTGAGTTGGTTGTGCCTGTGTAGCGCCTTGCAGTTACCCACGTTGCTTTTTCTTTTGCCCTGCAGTCAGTTTGTTCTATATATACTGTGTGGTAGGTATAAGGAGCCTTTTAGCTCTTCTTGAGTGTAGTGTGAGGGATAGTAGTTAAATCTTGTGTTACACAACATAAATCTTGTTCTTGTAGGATAATGAACGCTGGGAGACAAATCGCATGCTGACCAGTGGAGTGGTTCACCGTATTGAAGTGGATGAAGACTTTGAGGAGGATAATTCGGCCAAAGTGCATCTGCTGGTGCACAATCTCGTGCCCCCTTTCTTAGATGGGAGGATAGTCTTCACCAAGCAGGTGGGGACTGTGGCTAAAGGTGCTGATGGCAGAGCGCCCCAGAAAGGTGAGCAATCCATATCAGAGCAATATCTTGATATCTCCTTCCTCTAGCCAGAGCCAGTCATCCCTGTCAAGGACGCCACGTCAGATTTGGCCATCATTGCTCGGAAAGGCAGCCAGCTGGTGCGCAAGCACAGGGAGCAAAAGGAGCGTAAAAGGGTATGGTGTGACCTCTTGGCCTATCTGCCCATGTTTAGTATGTCATATTGTGCCTTGCAGCCCGTTTTTTGGTCTTTCGGTGCTTTTCCAGCCTTACATTTTGAATAAGTTATTATTCATGTCAGTCATTGCTGGGTCAAAGTGATGCTGCTCTCTGCCCTGAGTTGCAGTTATATTGGTTGCCACAGTGATAGTGCTCTCTGCCCTTCCAGGCTCAACATAAACATTGGGAACTGGCAGGCACAAAGCTGGGAGACATTATGGGGATCAAGAAAGAGGAGGAGAAGGATGAGATGGTGACAGAAGATGGCAAAGTGGATTACAAGTAGGAGTTGCTCTTCTAATCCTCTTGATTAGCTGGTGATGAGGCTGTAGGCATAGCAAAGTCTATAGGGAGATGGATTCAGAATTTCTGGTGTTTCCCCAGGACTGAGCAGAAATTTGCTGAACACATGAAAGAAAAAAGTGAAGCAAGCAGTGAGTTTGCCAAGAAGAAATCAATCTTGGAGCAGAGACAATATCTACCCATTTTTGCTGTGCAGCAAGAGCTGCTCTCCATTCTCAGGTATGCCTGCTAGGGAACAACTAGGGCTGCTATAGTGACAACTTCATTTTTTTTTTTTTTTCTAACATCACAAGATCCCAAGAGAGAATCTCTCCTAGATGTGTGGCTTGTATGGAGCTGCACTCCCTGGAAAAAGCATATTGCTCTCTGTTGGCAGCACCTTCCCTGTCTAACATGAAGTAGGACTCTTGTGCGACCATGCAGGGCTGTGAGTGAAAGAGCCCTTCTCTGCATTGTACGAAGAAACTCCTTCTGTCTCTTCAGGGACAACAGCATCGTGATTGTGGTGGGGGAGACGGGGAGTGGGAAGACGACTCAGCTGACGCAGTACCTCCATGAGGATGGCTACACAGACTATGGCATGATTGGCTGCACCCAGCCCCGCAGAGTTGCAGCTATGTCAGTTGCCAAGCGGGTCAGTGAAGAGATGGGGGTGCGTCTGGGAGAGGAGGTGAGTCCGACGTGGAGTGTGGAGGTGCATCGTGCAAACAGCACATGCGTGGGGCGGTGAGAAGAGTTGCTGTTGTCTCTGCCCTCCCAGGTGGGCTATGCCATCCGCTTTGAAGACTGCACATCAGAGAACACGCTGATCAAATACATGACGGATGGGATTCTTCTTCGTGAGTCGCTGCGAGAGGCTGACCTGGACCACTACAGTGCCATCATCATGGATGAGGCACATGAACGCTCGCTCAACACTGATGTGCTCTTTGGCCTGCTTCGGGAGGTGCGTGTGAGGCTGGATGAGAGGCCAGTGGCATGGAGTACTTGAGCTGGTTCTGTCTCGTGCAGTTATAGAAGCAGCCTGGAGCCTTGTGTGAATGCCACTTCCTTAGTTTTCCTTCCATCTCTTTCCTAGGTTGTGGCCCGGCGCTCAGATCTGAAGCTTGTTGTCACCTCAGCCACCATGGACGCAGATAAATTCGCTTCCTTCTTTGGGAATGTTCCCATTTTCCACATTCCTGGGCGCACGTTTCCTGTCGACATTCTCTTCAGCAAGGTGAAGTCAGCATTGCAAAGAGTGGTGGGAGGGGGCTGTGACTTGGGTCTTCTCTGCTTTCTGGCGTACAAGGAAGAAGGAAGAGGGGTAGACACCCTGTGATGCAGTGTTGTGACCAGGATGGGAAAGGTGAGATCCTCAATACCTGTAACCTGGGTTGTGCCTTTCAGACCCCGCAAGAGGATTATGTGGAGGCAGCAGTGAAACAAGCCCTACAGGTGCATCTCTCTGGTGCTCCTGGAGATATTCTTGTCTTCATGCCTGGCCAGGAAGACATTGAGGTGAGCTGCGAGGGCAGGCACTGTCCTATCCCCTTGTTGCTATAGTCTCAAGTTAACAGCTCTCTTTGTGTACAGGTGACCTCAGAGCAAATTGTGGAGCACCTTGAGGAGCTGGAGAAAGCACCTGCTCTTGCTGTACTGCCCATCTATTCTCAGCTGCCCTCAGACTTGCAGGCCAAGATCTTCCAGAAGGTGATGATATGTCGTCAGTGAGAGGGGTAGGACTGGGGCTGCCAGTGCAGGGAAGATGCCACTAAGCACAAGTGATGCTGCGATGCCACTTGTATTCATGAAGAGGGTGATAGGTAGCATGTACTGCCCTCGTTTTCCAAGGAATTCTCCGGTCCTGGGTTAAATATTGCTGTTGTGCACCCTTCCTTGGGGAAGGGATCTCATCTAGGGATCTAACCGGTGTGTGGTATGATTACAGGCTCCGGATGGGGTCAGGAAGTGCATTGTTGCCACCAACATCGCAGAGACCTCGCTGACGGTGGATGGAATCATGTTTGTGATTGATTCTGGCTATTGCAAGTTGAAGGTGAGAAAACGTTTCTTGTCCTGTTTACATTTGTGATCTGTGAGCCTGGGTTGAGGGAGTTCTGGGACAGTGACCCAGTTTTTCTCTGCTCGTCGCTTGCCCTGCAGGTTTTCAACCCCCGCATAGGCATGGATGCACTGCAGATTTACCCCATCAGTCAGGCCAATGCCAATCAGAGGGCAGGTCGAGCTGGCCGGACAGGCCCCGGTCACTGCTTCAGGTAGGTACCTCACTGGCGTTTGTGTTTCTGTCACGCTCTCAGCCTGGTCTCTGGTTATATATGTAGGAAGTGGACAGACTTTTGGGCCCTTTGTTTTGGATCTAGTACCCTCTGGTGGAAAGGAATGCTTCAGTTTCTGCCCTTGCCAGTCTTCATTCCAACAGCGTAGCCAAAGGCAGCTTCCTTGAGGTTTTGCTTTAAGACTAGTCTGCACATGGGGAAGGACAGTGCTCAAGTGTGCACTGTGCTGCAGGAACCTTTATGTGCTGGGGGGCTGTTCTGCCCCTGGGATCCTGCTTGTGTCTTAGCTGAGAGCAGAGCCACTGCCCTGTCACTGCCTGTCTGCACTGGGCAATGGTTGGTCTTTTGGTGAGGAGCACAGTGATCTGAGCAGCAACATGCTCTTCGTGTGTTCCTTAGGCTCTACACCCAGAGCGCCTACAAGAACGAGCTTCTGACCACCACAGTGCCTGAAATCCAACGCACCAATCTTGCCAACGTGGTGCTTTTGCTCAAGTCTCTGGGTGTGCAGGACCTGCTGCAGTTCCATTTCATGGATCCACCCCCTGAGGACAACATGCTGAACTCCATGTACCAGCTGTGGATCCTGGGCGCACTAGATAACACAGGTACTGGCTGTTGGGGTAGGCTGCCAGCCCATGAGCCTGCTGAGACCTGCATGGCTGCTGATCCTTGTGCTGTTCCTGCAGGTGGTCTGACCTCTACGGGACGTCTTATGGTGGAGTTCCCACTGGATCCTGCTCTCTCCAAAATGCTCATTGTCTCTTGTGATATGAGTTGCAGTTCTGAGATCTTGCTCATTGTGTCCATGCTGTCTGTGCCTGCCATCTTCTATCGCCCTAAGGTACCATCTCACTTCTTCAGTGGTTTGGGGCCTTCCCCTGCCCTGTGACTAACCTATGTTCTTCACTCATCTCAGGGCCGAGAGGAGGAGAGTGACCAGGTGCGGGAGAAATTTGCTGTCCCAGAGAGTGATCACTTGACTTACCTGAACGTTTACCTGCAGTGGAAGAACAACAACTACTCTACACTGTGGTGCAACCAGCACTTCATCCATGCCAAGGCCATGCGGAAGGTGAGGCGGTGGCAACAGGCTGCAGGATGAAGCCTTGTGCAGGAGAGGGACCTAATTGTTACAAATCTTGCAGGTGCGAGAGGTGCGTGCCCAGCTCAAGGACATCATGGTGCAGCAGCGGATGAGCCTGGCGTCCTGTGGCACTGACTGGGATGTTGTCAGGAAGTGCATCTGTGCTGCGTATTTCCATCAGGCTGCAAAGCTGAAGGTGAGAGGACTTTGTGCTAGGTTACGGGACGAGAGGCTGTGTCTGTCATGCGTGTACTAACCACACTTCTCTGGGCAGGGCATTGGGGAGTATGTGAACATCCGCACAGGCATGCCCTGCCATCTGCATCCCACAAGCTCCCTGTTCGGCATGGGCTACACACCAGACTACATTGTGTATCATGAACTGGTCATGACCACCAAGGTGAGTTTGAGCTTTAAAGACGGTGAGAAGATTGAGGAGACTTGCAAGGGCTTTGCTGTGATATCAGAGTGTGTTAGAAGGGGAGTTCTTGGCCTTCTGCCTTGCCAGCCATGCATGTGCCACCTGCAGAGCGCTGTTTGTTCTTTCCCAGGAGCCTGTTCCTGGCAGATGTAGGTCATACTGAGGCTCTTTGCGGTCTCATCAAAGCAGCTGCTCACCAGCAGCTTTCTAAAGCCAGCAGTAGCAGCCTGGAAGGGGGTATATCCCTAGCTTGAGAACTGCTGTTAGCAAGTGAATGAGGGAGACAGCCGCCAAGAATCTGGTAGTGCCATCCTGTTACCCTGGGCTTTCCTTCTGTCCGTGCAGGAATACATGCAGTGTGTCACTGCTGTGGATGGAGAGTGGCTGGCAGAGCTGGGCCCCATGTTCTACAGTATCAAACATGCTGGCAAGTCAAGCCAGGTGAGTCTCCTGTGTGTGGTGATGTGCAGTAACAGGGTCTGCAGCGTCTGCTGCTGTTGTCTGGGCGCCTGCCTGTCCCTGATGAGCTGCTGTCCTACCTAGGAGAACCGCCGGCGTGCCAAGGCAGAGGCGTCTCTCATGGAGCAGGAGATGGCTCTGGCCGAGGAGCAGCTTCGTGCCCGCCGGGAGGAACAGGAGCGCCGCAACCCGATGGGCACCGCCAGGTGGGTCCTAAACCTGCCCACCATGGATTGCCCTTCAGCAGGCGGCTGCATGGAGTTTCCCAAATGTCCACACACACCTTCCACCCCAGGAAGCCCAGATTCAGGAAAAGGTTGTGTCTTATGTCTTCAGCTAATCGCCCTTTTCTCTCCTGGTAGGTCTACTAAAATCTACACACCTGGGCGGAAGGAGCAGGGGGAGCCCTTGACGCCGCGACGCACCCCAGCCCGCTTTGGCCTCTGAGACAGCAGTGCCCACGGCTGCCAAGGCTTAGGGGCTTCCAGGAGCAGCTGAGTCTCAGGAGCCTGCCAAGCTCCACCGCTGCTCAGCTCGCTACAGCATGTGGCCCAGCAAGGCTTCGGTGCTTGGCACTACTTTTGCTACAGAACAAAAATAATTTTATTTGTTTAAAGGTTGTTAGTCTTTGACCCTTGCTTTGTTTTGTGCTGCTTCTTGTCTCGCAGACAAATGCTGGGGGGAGGCAGCCCTACAGAGCTGTGCAGGGCTTGTGCAGTCAAGTCGCTGCCCTGCAGAGCCTAGGCCAAGGCACAGAGTTGCACTGTCTCACAGGGCAAAGACAAGGTGAGCCTGGCTCATCCATGTCCTGGCCTACTACAAGGGCAGGTCTTGTGCGAGCTGTGCCCTGGGCACACTGTGTCCCTCTACACACTGGAGCACAGGCCTAGCACTGGTTCAGGCCAGGCTGTGGCGGGAGCTCTGCTCCTCTTCAGCTGCTCACACTCACGGTGCTGCTCCTCTGCTCTGACCCTAAGGTACTTGTTTTCCTCCTCCAGCCTTTCCAGTGTGTTTTGGAGCTGCCTGGAGGAAGGGCAGTGAAAGGGAGGTGAGGAGGTGATGCAAGCCTATATCCTCATCTGCTGCCCTTGGGGCAGCTTGAGGAGTGCAGTGCTTCATCTGTCCCGTGCACTAGCATGCTCAGCAGTAATGCTCTCTGCAAAGCACTCAGATCCTCTCCCCATGCTCACCACTTACTCCTTCTCGCCTGTCAACTCAGCAATCTGCTTGACTTGCTGCTGGATCGTTTGCTCTAGTTTCTCGTTTGACTGCCTGGAAGGGAGGGGTGGGTCACATAAGTAGATGCCAGTCCAGGAGAAAGCAGCTCCCTGCCCCTCTGCTCTTGGGCAGCTCCTCACTCACTTCTGCTTTGTCACCAAGTGCCTCATGTTGAGCAGCATCCGCTCGCTTTCGCGCTGCAGCCTGCTGCTGTCGGCGTGTGCTGCGGTGAGAGAGGAGCGCAGGGCTTCTGCCTGCAAGGGACCTGCGTTGCTCAGGCGCCTCCTGGCCTGAGCCTCTGCGTGCCCAGGGCGCCAGGTGAAGGCGAGAGCCAGGGTGAGCCGGGGCAGCAGTCCCTGGGGCTGAGTGGTGGGGCAGCACTGTTACCTCTGTGCTGGTGACTGCAAACTTCTGCTGCAACACGTTAGTTTCATGATGAATGGCTTCTTTCTAATAAGAGAGCCAAAGAAGGGTATTCTGAGGAGAAGAGGGTAGTGCGGACCGTGCTGGGTGCTGCTCTGGCTTGTCCGCAGCAGCTCTGTCCTCCCTGGGGCCCTGGCTCTGCTTTTCCCTAGGGCCGGGGATCCAGCCCAGCTCCTCATGCCCACGGGCTCTGTGGTGCCTGCTCCCATCTCGCACCTGCTCCAGGGCCTTGTCCAGCTTCTCCTTGAGGAAAGCCAACTCCACCTTGCAAACAACCAGCTCCTCGTCCCGCATGGCCAGTGCTCGCTTGCTGTCCTGGTGCAGCTGCTGCCACTGCTGGGCTTGGCTGCTCAGCTCCTGCAGCCTCTTCTCCAGGGTGAGGGCCTGTCCCAGGCAGGACGTAGGGCAGGGGTCTGCACGTGCCTCAGGGGCACAGACCAGAGCCTGGCGGCACTCACCTCCTGCTTGCTGTGCTCCTGGCAGCCCTGCAGCTTCCTCAGCTCCCAGTGCAGCTGCTGCCTCTGCTCCTCATAGGCCGCGATCTCCTCCTCCTGCTGCGCTTTCCCTTGCTGGGCCTGGGCCAGCTCAGCTCGCAGGGTGGGCACGGCCTGCAGCTGCGCGCAGCGCCGGGGCAGAGCCTGCTGAGCTGGGCCCCGCGCTGTCGCCCGCGCTGCCCAGCGGCCCTCACCTGTCCCCGCAGCTCTGCCACGTGCTGCCTGCTGCAGGCGGCCTCGTGCTGCAGGGCGCGGATGGTCTCCTCAGCCCCGCTCAGCTGCCGCTGCCGCTGCTGCTCCCGGGCCTGCGCGGCCCCCAGCTCCTCCTGCAGCCAGAGCAGGCGGCTCTGCAGGCCCTGGCACCGCTCCTCCTGCTCCCCCAGCTGCGGAAGGCGGGAGCTGAGCGGGAGCTGCCTCCAGGCCGGTGCTGCCGCCCGCCAGGTTGGGCTGCCTGGTGCTGCTCCCCACTCACCGCCCGCTCCCTGCGGCACAGACTCTGCTGCAGCACCCCGATCTCTCGCTCCAGGCTGCTGCTCCACTCCTTGGTCTGCTGCAGCTCCAGCTGCAGCTTCTCCCTGCACTCCTGCTGCCAGCCCAGCTCCTCCTGCAGCTCCTGGCACTGGGCGGCGAGGTGCGGGGTGAGCCTGGCGCAAGGCCGCCGGCATGGCCACCCTGCAGCAGGGGAACCCGGCCGCATACCCACCTGCTGCCGCAGTGCCTGCAGCTGCGCCTGGTTGTGCCGCAGCCTCTCCTCGGCCTGCGCCGCGGCGCCCCTGTGCTGCAGCGCCTGCTCCAGCGTCACCGCCTGCTGCTGCTGCCACCAGCCCAGCTCCACCCGCAGCTGTGCAGCCTCCTCCCTGCACAAGGGCACCGCTGCAGCTGCTGCAGCCCTGTCCTGCTCCTGCGCCGGCCTCGCGCCCTACCTGCTCTGCGCGGCCTCGGCCCTGCTGCTGGCCGCCTGCTCCTGCAGCGCTCGCAGCTCGGCCTCCATCTCGCCGCCGCCCCCGCGCTCCGTGTCTTTCCCTGGGCACGGGCAGGGCGGCGCCTCTGCGGGGGCCGGGCAGATGGGGGCCAGTGGAGGCTGCGCCGGGGCTGAGTGGGGAGCAGGAGCCCTGGAATCGCCTGCCCTTGCCGGTGTGGGGGAGCAGAGCTGGGCACAACAGCTCCGGGCTCCCGCTCATCCCCTGTGACACCTACGGGTCACAGCTCCAAACCCCGTCCTGGCACCCCAGGCTTGCCCACCTTCCGTGGAGCTGCTCTGCTTGGCCACCTGCACGGCCTGCGCATCCTGTGCCAGGTCAGGGAGCTGCTTTGCCACTGGCCCCTGCTGCCCGCTGGGATGACCCTGCACCTGCACTGACGCCTCTGCCTGCACCTGCATCTGTGCCTGCATGAGCAGCAGAGCCCCGTGCCAGTGGCCCTGCGCTGCCAGCACCCTGGGCCCCCAGGACCTTGTGGGCTCGTCCCTGCATCACCCACCTGGCTGCTGGTGTCACGGGGCTCCTGGGCGCCGTGCGGCTCCTGCTCCCGCAGCTCCTCAGCTCTGCTCAGCAGCACCTCACTCTGCTCCCGGCGCCGCCCTGGCCCCCTCCGGGCCGCGCTGCTGGCACCCTTAGCCGAGCTGGGTGCCTCTGGGGGCGGCTGCAGCCCCGGGCAGCGCTGCCGCAGCGCTGCCTCATACTGCAGCACCTGGGGGAGCCGGGCAGGCAGCACTGGCGGGACACACAATGGGACCCACAGCTGCGCCCATGGGTGCTGCAGCAGCAGTACCTGCACCATCAGCGCCTGGCACTGCTGCAGCAGCAGCGCCAGGTCTCGCTGCTCCCGCTCCGCCGCAGTCTCCTGCCGTTGCAGGTGGGCCAGGCTCTCCTGGTTCCGGCCCTGGCAGGTGTCCAGGCCCTGCTGCAGCTCCTGGATCCAGCCCAGCACCCGTCCTGGATCCAGTGCTGCTGCTGGCCCTTGTCCCTGGGGTGCAGCACCGTCCAGCATCACCGCTGTGAAGGGTCTCTGCTGCAGGCGCCCGCTGCCCTGTCCCATCCCGGGGGTGCGGGTGGCCATGGGCGCTGCTCACCTGGGGCTCCAGCTGGGATGGGGGCTGCGCCTGGGCGCTCAGCTCCCCCATGGCTGCTGCTCACCCGGGGCCGCTCAGGAGCTGCCGGCACCTCCCCGGCGGCACCGCGGCCTGGCCGCCCGCTCCTGCCGGACACAGGGATCGTGGAGCTCCAGCTGTGCCCACATGGCACTGCAACCCCCTGCAGGTTCTCCCTGCCGCAGGTCGCCCCAGCAGCGCGATACCCTGCAGAGCCCCGTCCAGCTGCACCGCGCCGCACCAGCCCGGCCACCGCCGTCTCCAGCACCCCCTGCACCCAGTGCCGCTTCCTGGCCTCTCACCGTGGCGGCTTCCCAGCGGCGGCCCGGACGCCTCATCCTGCGACGCTCCGGCCGCGACACCTGGCACCCCCGTGGATCTGTGCGCGGCACCGGGTTCCAGGGACAAAGGTGAGAACCAGAACCTGGCAACGCACACGGATCCTCCTGACCCCTCCTGCCCCTGCACCCAGAGATGCCATGAGGCCTCCTGACTCTGTCCGTGCACCACTCCCAGCACGAGCCCTGTGTGCCGCTCTGGCGTCGCATGGTGCCTCCTGCCACGTGCATGGTAGTGCCCACAGCAGCCTCCTGCTGTGCTGGGGTGTGCATGGCACTGCACTCATGCTGCACAAGGTGCTGCACTCACACTGCACTCGTGCTGCACATGTGCGGCACTTGCAACAGATTCCTGCCATGCCCAGTTCTTGCGCCATGTCACCAGGGGAGCTGCGCTGCTCCCTCTGAGGAGCTGTCGACTGAGGCTGTTACTCCATATTTCTCACTGTCCAAAAGGATAAAAATAACAGGAACAAGTTGTCGGAAATGAAATTTCAATCTCTCCACGCCCTTCTCTGTTCACGCAGCTTCCCGGCACAAATCAATAGTATTTAGGCAGCCTAGGAGATTTTTTTCCTCTCTTAAAGCACTGGATCAATAGCGGGGCAGAGGAGAGAAAGAGCAGAAACCCAAACCCCTCTCGGTGTGCGAGTGTCCTGCAGTACCAGCGAGTGGCCCAGGAGGGCGGGAGCCGCAGCCAGGGGACACCGGCCGGCCCTCGGCGCTGCACGGAGACTCGGGGACAGCGTCTGCGGCGGATTCCCCAGGGCCGTGCTGACCTGCGGGGCCATTTCCCCCTGTTCCACTGGGAAGCGGTCCAGGTCGGGCCCAGGAGGGGAACTCGGTACTGGCATGGGACCTGCTTGGGTGCATGGCACCGGGCGGCCGGAGCAGCCAGAGCATCCGGGACAGCCGGCTCGGTGACCCCCACGGCCACCCCCGGTGCTCCCTTCCCATCCAAGCTGGCTGCACCCGCAGCAGCCGGTGCCATGCAGGGCCCGCCATGCGCAGCAGCTCGGTGCAGCCCAGCGCGGCTCTGCAGGGCGCAGCGCAGAGCTGCACGGCGCCTGCAGCTCTGCAGGGCACCGCGCGCTGCGCATGCTGCTCACAGCTCTGCGCAGCCCAGCACGGCCTGGCTCTGCGGCCCCGCGGGCGAGCGGCGGCTGGCAGAGCTGGGGCCCGTTTGCAGCTGCCCCTTGCACGGCCCTTTGCCACCTCTGCCCTGACCACTGCACGACAGCAGCACTGGTAACACCACCAGCCAGTGCCCACCACAGCTCTGGGACTGCTGTGACACATGCCGCCGTGTGCTGCCCCTTGCCATGCTGCTCTGCACTATGCTGCCCCATGCTTTGCTGCCCCATGCGGTGCTGCCCTGTGTGTTGCTGCCCCGGGCCAGGCTGGGCAGACCAGGCTGTGCGTTGGCTCCTGGGCCGGGGCTCGGGGCTGCGGGGCTGTGGGCTGGATGGTGCCTGGCGGACACTGCAGCCACGGGGCTTGTCCTGCACCTGGGGCCGTGGGGATGGGGGCACTGGGGGGTTGTCCACGCACCACGGGGAGCCACCAACACCGGGGCCCTGTCCTGCTCGGTGCCCCGTTGGGACTGGAGCGGGGTGAGCACCCGGGGCGGCAGTGCCACTGTGCCGGAGCGCCCCAGGCCAGCGCTCGCCCTGTGCTTTAATTAGTGCCTTAATGCTGCTCCTCCAGCGCCGTGTTAATTGAAATTAAACAGCTGCCACTCTGCGGTGGGGACAAAAGCGGAGCCGCCTGCGTCCGCCTGCGGTGATGGGGCCCAAGGCGCCGCGAGGGACAAAGGCGACACAGCTGCCGCCGCTCCCGGCACCCGCGTGGCCAGGGCACAGGATGGCGGCCCAGCCGCGCGCGCCGGCACTCGCGGACACGGGGACATCAGGGACTTTGCAGGGGTGGCACCGGGAGGAGCTGCAGACGCAGGACAGGCTGGCGCTTCTCACCAGTGTGCGCTGTGTTTTGGGATGAGGCCCTTGCTCGTGATGCTATTTGGTACTTTAAAATATGCAAAATGAGGAGCTGGTGCAGACCTCATTAACACCCGCCTCCAACATCATTAAGATGTTTCCAAGAAAATTAATTGAGAGACTCATTAAAAATAAATTAAGAAAAATGTGTTGCAGAGCGCCTGCTCCAAGCTCGTAAATCACGGCTCAAAGCTCCAGGCCGCTGCGCAGGCAATTAACGCCAGCCGATTTGTTTTATCCTGACTGCAAAAATTAGAAAGCAGACGTGGAGATTAGATTAGGGACGTCTGTCAAGCGGAACTTGGAGTGAATATTTTAGGATGCAAAATGGAAATCGGGAAAACAAAGGAAGCAGCGAGGTTCCCGGGAGCCGTGGGCAGGCGGGGAGCGGCGGCGCCGGGAGGGCCCTGCCGCCTCGGTGCCACTGCCGCCCTGGTGCCGCTGCCCCGGCTTCCGCAGGGGAGCAAGTGGAAAGAGAAACCAGGTTAGAGCAAGACCCAAACAGTGTCACTTTAATAAGAGCAAGCCCGGGAGCAGGAAAGCAGCACAGTTGATGGTGAACTCCTCTGGCAGCTGAGAGGCTGCTGTGTCACAGCAGCTGTTGGTATTTTTACCTACAAAATGGAAGAAAACACAGAAATGAGTCATGAGGGCAGATCTGTGCAGAGCAGGACCAGAGGGGGATGCTCTGCAATCCCTGCAGGCAGCGCCAAGGGGGCTGTGTGGGGACCCCGCGCCGGCTGCTGCGAGGGGCAAAGGGGCCGCGAGGCCACACGTGCGGCTCCGCGGACGCGGTGGCGTCACACCGGGCTCAGCGCCTGTGTTTTCCTGTGTGAAACACTTGTGTTTTGCAAAATTTTCCATGCTGAGCTTTTGCCCAAAAATTCATTTACTTCACATGTTTGATTAACATCCTTGCAGCTATTTCTGAGTTATGGAATGAGTGGAAAAATACTTACATGTGACAAAATTACCAGTGTAAAGCAAAATATCCAACCACAGGAAAGGAGCTACATATTTTTATGCTTACCCAGCCTTCATCCTCATGTGGCCTCGCACCTTCCCTAGAAGCAAATCCGAGCAAACGCAGCAGCTCTCTGGGCACGTGCCGGCGGTCCCTCCCAAGCCTGGGGAAAAACAGGCAAACAAAAACTGAGAGAACTGCAGTGTATTCCTCTTGGCGTCCTCATCCCAACGGTGGAATGAGCTGCAGAGGTTGTTTGCTTATGATGATAGAATGATAAAAAGTCTAAAACACAGATAAATGTGATGTGCACCATGGAAATGGAGCGTGCCCGTGGCCGAGGGGAGGGAGCGTGGTCCAGGCCTGGCCGTCGCCAGCTGCTCTCCCACTCAAGGGACTGAACCAGGAGGAATCGACGCTGCAGAACGAGCACAGACCCCTCCATGGCACTGGCAACACGGGCGCCAGGCCTTACCTTCCCCGCCCTTGCGCCTTGGACCGAACATGAGGGCACCTCGGACCCGCTGCGTCCTGGGCAAGGCTGAGGCGACGCGGAGCCCGCGTGGGGAGCCAGGCAGAGCCTGTGGACACAGGGCCGAACTGCCTCTGCTGAACCCCACATCTGTGAGGAGGGAAGGAGCAGCTCTGCACCCCTGGTGCTGACCACCCTCTGCAGCACGTGGATGCGCTGCCCATCTGGCCGCATGGAGGGACGGGCTTCAGCAAGTGCCTTGGCCCCCGCAGCCCTGCGGCTGTTTCTGCCCTCCCAAGGTGCTCCCACGTCCCGCACGTGCGCCCACCGGAGTCCCCGCGGCCCCCGCGCGGGGCAGCGGAGCCCGGGCGGCTCCCAGTGCTGGCGTGTCCGCGCGGCTGTGTGCAGGGCCACCCTGCTGCGCTCCTGCCCTGCGGACATGCACACACCAGTGCATCTCACAGACCAATGTGCTGTTGCATGAAGAAAAGCACTTTCTTTACACATTTTTTTCTTTTTATGGAATAATTTTGCATTTAATTAGTGAAGGCGGGTCTGCCCAGGCAAACCAGCACTACTTCCTGCACTGACACATTGCACTTTATTAATTCCTTCCTTTTCCTGGTAACAACTTGTTTTTCATTTTTTCACGTTTGGCATTTCCAGGCTCCTGCCTCCTTGTGCTGGACCGGCCTTCCCTCCCGTTGCTGGTGTCGGTCCGGGTCGGTGCGCGGGCCGGGCGCAGCCGGGAGCCCGGCGGTCGCTGTCCCCTGCTCGGCTCCGCGCGGCGTCGCGCCCACCACGGGGCTCCCCTGGCGCCCCGGCACGTGCCGGCGGCACGCGGGGGCGGCCCGGCCGGCTGGGCCCGGCTCCGCGGCCCGGTCCGGTCCCGTCCGGCCCGGTTCGGCCCGCTCCCGGCAGCAGCCCGTGCTCCCCCTTCCAGCGGCTCCCCCCGGATGCGCGGGGCCGTGCGAGGGCCCCGCCGCGGGGGTCCCGTCCCGTCCGGTCCGGTCCGGTCCCGTCCGATCCGGTCCGGTCCGGTCCGGTTCCGCGGCCCCCGCCCGGCAGCGCCGGTCCCGGCCCGCCGCGGCAGGGGGCGCTGTCGGCCCGCGCTGGCGCCGCCGCGGCACCAACATGGCGGCGCTGGCGGTGACTCACGGAGCGGGGGGGCTGCGGCGGCGGACAATGAGCGACTGGGCGGGCCGAGCCGCACCGAGCCGGACCGGACCGACCCGACCCGACCCGAACCGGGCCGGACGAGACCGAGCCCGACCGGGCCGAGCCAGACCGGAGCGAACCGCCGCGGCTCTCGTGCCTGCTCGGGAGGGCGCGGCAGGGGTCGGGGCGGCCGCGCCCCTAAGAGCCCCGGCCGCGGCCGCGCCGGCCCGGAACGAGCGCGGGGCTCGGGGCGCTGCGGGGCGCCCGGCGCGGGGCCGGCCCGGGGACGTGCTGCGGACACGGGGTGCAAGTGGCGGTGCAGGGGACACCGGGGTGGAAGGTGGAGGTGCAGGGGACACCAGGGTGCAAGTGGCGGTGCAGGGGACATGGTCCCCCCGCATGCAGGACTCTGCACCTTTGGCCGGCTCTGCACCTTTGCTCCTGGCCGTGCAGGGTCTGCACCAGTGCTTCCCGCTGCCGTGCCCTGCAGCCCCAGCCCCACGCTGTCCCACGCCTCCCCCGTGGGGATGCTGCCCTCAATCCACACGGCCTTCCCAGGGGTAGGAGCCGCTCGGGGTGCGCGGCACCCCGCAGCAGCAGCGCGGCCGCCGCACTGGCTGCATGCATGAAAGGGAAAGCAGGAGCAGGGTTTGCGCTCGTGGAATTTTAATGAGCCCTAAAGGTTATTTCTCTGCAGTTCTAGTGATAATTTCCAATTCTCTGTGTTCATAGGAAACGGGTACCTCAGGTCTAATCACATTTGGATACTGTCTAGGGCACATTCTGTATGTTTGGCTGCCGAGGAATATCAACAAACATAAATTATCAGCAGCATGGTCAGATTGTACGGGGGAGAAATAACAAACAGGAAAGGCTTGCACGGCTTTGCATTCTGCAATGAAAATGATCTCATTATCCTTTCCAGGGACGCAGCCAGCTACTTGAAAAATACTTATTAAAAAAACATTGCAGCTCTTGGGAGAGGGTCCCCTCCAGAGCAAGGGGAAAGCAAAATGGAAGTGTAAAAATGGAGAGCAGGAGGAGGCAGCCTCGGTGGCAGGAGTAGGTGGGAACGAGCCTGGCTGTGTTGCAGCCCCTGCAGAGAGCCTGGGCCCGGCCTCGGCGCAGCCCTGTGTGCTGCCACCTCTGCCTCTCCTTCCAGCGCCGGGGAGGGGACCGGAGGCAGGTGGCAGTGGTGCTGGAGATGACGGACTCTCTGTGTTGGTGCTGCTCAGCCCTGGCGCGGAGCAGGCTCTGCTGCTGCGGGAAGCCCGGGAGCTGCGCGGGTGCTTGAGCCGCGTCCTGCCTGGCTGTGGGGGACAGGCCCACGCCCTGTGCTGGGGGGCGGGCAGCCGGTGGTGACACTGCTCGCTGCAGCAGCAGCCGTGAGGGTGCGCGCCAGCCCGCACGGGGTGACCTGCTGCGGGTCGTGCTGTGCTGGGCAGCGCCCCTCGCCCTACTGCCTGCTCTGCGTGCACAGCACCCCTGCTCCTGCCGCTGTGCCTGCCCCTGCTCCTGTGCCTGCCCCTGCTCCTG